AAATAGTTAGTTTGTCATGGCTTGATCTAATTACCTACCTAGATCTACAGTATGTAGGTTTTTATTTGCGATGAGATTAGATGACTGGATGAGTGATGAGCCCGAGTAGAAAAGCAAGCTGTAACTAGGTACCTAGCATTGATGGAAGCTGTTTAAACGTACCTACTAGCTCTATTTAAAAAGAGTGGGCATTTGTGCATTAGGAGGCAGGGGAGGTCACTGAAAGGAAGGTGGAAGTTGGAAGGTGGCATCTGAAAGCTTCCCGCTTCCGCACCCGCGTATTTTTCAAAAGCTGACCTCACACTTTTAATGCGACACATCAACAACACAAACCCACCGTAATCCACGAACACAACGACGAGCACAACGACGAACAACACAGCTGGTCCCAAAAACCATGCTTCCGAAAGGCTGGCTCAGCTTGATCTAGTCATGTCTTCCATTTCCGAAAACCAGCATGACGGCATTTTAACCAAGTCCACCAATTCCGCGACCAACGATGGCACAAATCCGCCCTTAAAGCGAAAACAACCACCCCCCGAGAAAGCTCAAGATGTTCAAAGACGATCCTATATTGTAGCATCTTTTTGGTTCATCGTATTGTTTCTCGGATTGCCAATATGGTGGAAGACAACTACTATATACCGGGCTGATCTGCCCCTGAGCCAGATGTTGAACTGGGCTGATGGCAAGGTTAGGGGGAAGCTCTTTTGTGTCTCTTGGTCTTGACACTGACTTACCTTAAATTTCAAGGCCTGTACCCCAGTATTTCCCATAAAAATCATCATTGATGCGCCGAGTCTACGAAGCGACGAAGCCGAGAACCTCGCGCGGATAACCCAGCATGCCCTGGATACCATGAATGACTTCAAAGGCCATCATCTAGAGCTTGACGTATCTCCATCTACCAAACTAGACCACGCGAAAAGTCCGAATCGCGATTCCGATGCCTCCCTCACGGTACGACTACTCCCTGGCGATATTGCTACATCGTCCCTCCATTCGCAATCACCCATCCTCGAAATCACGTATCCCCCAAGCTCGATGCCCGCAGCTGATGCCAATTCCTCCGGCTTCGCCACCTATTTGGCAACACAGCTCCGCGAGGCCTTCTCCGAAGAGCGAAACGTCATGGCATATCTCTTAGCGACATCCTCTATGCCTTTCGAGCAACGATCTCTAGAATCTACCCAAGATCTAGCCGACTCCTTATCGAAACGTATGACGAGGTCGCTAAAATACTCCCGCACGTATCATTTGACTTTTTCATTATTCACGAGTGGTTCAGTACCAAGCAGTTGGGAGATCGAATCAGCCATAGACGAATACATGAAACCAATATTGGACATGCTTAGACCTATTCATAACTTCACTATCGATACCCAAGTCCAATTGTATGCCCACCCTGGCGTGCAGTCAGAGGTGCTGAGCAAGGAAGACCTATCATCCTTCATCAATGCGGCCGAATGGCCTTTGTCGCCCTCTATAGGAGGCGCGCCAACCGTCAACTTTGTCGTATATATCGGTAACCAAACCGTCGGCGCCGCGCCAGAGACAGGCGCTTCTCACTCCTGGCTCATACCACAGTGGGGCTCTGTGTATTTGTTGCCGCCCCCCTCTACAGATGCTGTCCCCTCGGAATTATTAAAGCAGCCTATGCTGACCTTTACCTCTCATCTGCTCTCGCTGCTCGGTACACCACAAACAGGCCCCTTGCAGATGCGCCTTTCTACACTTACCCGCATCCGAACCGCCGATCTTCTTCTTCGAGCTTCTTCCTCGCTAGGTTCTCTAGCACGTCTCTCCTTAGCGCTACCGAGCATATCGATCCCGTCTAGCGTCGCCGATGGGGTGGCCAAGTCCATGCACCACCTCCAACTTGCCTGCTCTAACCTGGGTGGGACTGGAGGTTTGGAACACGCGCGCATCGCCGATGTAGAGGCTGAACGCGCCTTCTTTGAAAAAAGCATGGTCGGACAGCTATATTTCCCAGACGAACACAAAATTGCTGTGTATCTACCATTGCTGGGGCCCGTGGGAGTGCCACTGGTCATGGGATTATTGAATCAAATCAAGGCGTGGAAGAATGGGAGAAAAGAGAAAGCAAAAACAGCATGAATACCTATGGTAGTCACTGAAGGAAACCCGACAATCCTTCAGTTAAAACACCAAGATCAATGGACACTGACATCGAAGCACCACTCGCCTACCTCTGTTATATGTATGATGAGTCCTTATGGACAAGATGGAGTTGGTTGTTACGACAGGAAGCAATTAACACAAACAGACTTATAACCACCATATCTCCTGGTATAGTTTGAGAGGGTATACTTCGTCCAAGAGTCGGTCGTCGCTGGGTGAGTATTTGAAGAAAACCGTATGTCCCATGAAACGTAGCTTGTTGAACTACTATGCTGCTAGCATACGTGTTCATCGATCTCATTTCAAAGAAGGGTCGCTAGCTACCCACCTCCCTAGGAACCCGGGCTAGCAAAAGACATGAGCATACCTAGGACATACCTAGGTACATATCTAGGGAGGTAGATATTAATGATGATTACCTGATAATGGAAGTTAACATTATGGACCATGGAATTTTTGTGATTTGTTTTTCTGAATTCGATGCCTCATGAAGGTTTGGAATGTGTCCTCAGTTGCGTAGTATGATACGATCGCCACGTCTTCAGAGTCTTTCGGATTTGTACTAAAGCATACTACCCATCTGTGGATCGTTCCAGGCGTTACCTTCTCTGGGCCGGACTGTCGGATCAGACCCGTTCTCATGATCCCCCGTCATCCCCCATCGAACTGTTGTTTCCGTTTCCATAGACGCGGCCAATCATCGTCTAGGAATATAAATATCAGGGGTGATAAGATAGCAAAAGAGCGGCTCAATGCAACACTGAGCTAGGACCATTAGTTTAGAGCTTATGTAGACCCTAGCTTGGCTTTAGGTACTTACGAGCTTTTCGCTCGCACACTGTTCTCGATACTCTTCTCGAAGGAAATAAATCAAGACCGGATCTTGAACGGTTGGTAAATAGAATGGGCGATGCATCAGCAATGAACTCCTCAATGTCCGATACTGCCGCTGCGGCAGCTGTCTTGCCGCAGCAGTCACTGTGGGGGGTTTTCTCATCAGCATCAGCTTCGTGGATGCCGTTTCTCGTTCCTACGGCTCTCGCCTACATCACGATATGCCGGGCAATGCGGTTTCGTCGAGAGCATGCTTTACGCAGCAGATTAGGCTATCCGGACAGGGCCTCGCTCAAACGCATGACGGTCGCTGAGGCGCAGCAGGTCATCGAGTTCATGAACGCGTGGGAGATGCCACTGCTCCAGTTTCTGGCACTGGAGTTTGGACTGTTCAAGGTTAGTTGGGAGATTTTCACTCTGGTGCCGTGATGGGGTTGAAGTGATTCTTGGGTGATTGAAAATTGAATGATTCTTGCTGACGGGCCGCTAGACATATGGTGTGGAGAGCATAAGCCGTTTACTTTTGGCCACGGGCAACTTGACAGATCCAATCAGGAGTTTGAAGAGGTAATAATGAACAACCTTCTTTTTTCATTAGGTCCCCGTACCTTAAAGAAAGATGTGAAAAAGCCCAGTGGCCGGATATGATGCTGAAAATCTCCCAGATTCGAAGACACGGCGGCCTTGATAGGTGAGTTTATGACCAACCCTCCGACATCTGAGCGGTCTCCGAATGGCATAGCACGAATGAACTTTCTGCACAGCAGGTACGTCAAGGAGGGCACCATCTCCAATAACGACCTTCTGTACACGCTCTCCGTATTCATCATAGAGCCCCCGCGTTTCGCCCGACTGTATGATTGGCGACCTATGAATGAGATGGAGCGTTGCGCCTACGGTGTCTTCTGGAAGAGTGTTGGTGACGCCATGGGGATCGAGTATAAGGGATGTCTGGCACGTGCCGAGCCTGGATGGCGCGATGGGATCGAGTTTGCAGAGGATATTGAGGCCTGGGCTAAAGATTATGAAATCGTTGCCATGAAGCCTAGTAAGGTGTGTGCTAAGCCCGCCCAGGCGTTGATCCCCATGATCACCTATTGGGTTCCATGGTTTGCGAAATCTTTTTTCAACCAAATCATCATCAGCCTCCTTGGCGAGAGGGTACGAGATGCTTTTATGTAAGTCAATCTTCCATTTGTTTGAAAAACGCGATTCTTTCGTTCGTATTTGATAGACATACTGACATAGAATGACTACCTAGGCTCCCAGAACCTGATATAAGCGCGATGGCAACAGTTTACTCCCTCCTCAGCGTCCGCCGGTTTGTCATGCGGTACTTGACGCTACCCCGGTTGTTCGAATTTAAGCGGCTGAAGGACCCAGACCCGAAGACGGGACGCATGACACAGCATATCCCTTATGGAAACTTTCCGTTTTACATACAGCCGACGCTCTGGAATCGATGGGGACCTGCGGCCTGGGCTGTATGGCTGTACGGTGGAAAGGTGCCGGGAGATGACCCCGAGGAGTATATGCCCCAAGGCTACTTGGTGTCTGACCTGGGACCTAAGAATCGTATGGGTTTGGGAATTCAGGAAGTGGAGGAAAATGCTAAGAAGATAAGGGCTAGCGGATGGGGAGGCTGTCCTTTCTGAACATGGCACCAAGGGGGTGGGATTCACCGAGTTGTACATGTGTATACGGTAGAGGTACTTAGGTAGGTTCTAGGGATTTAGGTACTTAATATTTACCCAAATTCTACTCTCGTTGCTTTTGATCTACGATGCATAAAGCTCGATTATCATACAGTTTACGTCTATCACTACAGAAAGCGAATATTATGTTCTTCCCAGTGAAAACAACCTTCCAAGTACACACTACCAATTATCGACCCAAATAGGCAGGTCAGATATTTCCCCTCGTAGTTTGCAGATGCGTTTAAAATCCACCTCACAAAATCGGGCTTTTTTGGCTATAGTATACTATTACAAACAACTGATTCATACACCTCAAGGGTGCATCTAGCCCGACTAGCTCACCGGTAGAGCGCCTCACTAGTATGGCTGAGGAGAATTGTCTGAAATGAGGAGGCAACAGGTTCGACTCCTGTGTTGGGCATTGCTTTTTACTTTTTCGATGATTCGACCTGGTATCTACGTGTAAGTAGGTGTCTATTTATGTAACGAGTAGCACACTGTTTCTTCTACTCATACAACTCCGAAGTTCCATGATGGATAATGAGAGAACCTGAACCCCGCAGTGAAAAGGAATAAATAATAGCACTGTTTCGCCTCATTTTTCAAAAAAGAGTACTGTACATACATAGTACATCAGATTCTGTATAATTACCACATCACCTAAAGGAGTAAAATCGAGATGCCAATAACTCGGGCCGCCCCTTGGCACTGAAGGAACGGAATCCATACACGCCATGTTTTCAAGGTCGTGTTCCGGGTGGACCTAATCTTTTAAGCGGCCAACCACCTACGCCTTGAAATGCAGTTGAGTTGTGACGGACTATTACCTACAGTACATTTGAGATTGAGATACGTGCCTCGCAGCGGTGTGCCTGCAAGTAGGTACCTACCTACATATGTTGCCATTTATCAAATCATATCTACCTAGATACGTACCTAGCTACTGTAGGTATGTGGTAATTGAAGCCCGTTTCAACTTTCAAGTAGCTTTCCCCTTACCACCAAGTATCTTTCTACTAACCGCATAGATGTCTACTCCGAACTCGTTCATCCTTGCCTCTAGGTAGGTTACCGTGCTCTGCGAACCACTTGATGAGTTATCTTAATGACTGGTGGACGATGGTTGTTGGTACCACTATATAAACAAATGTTGGTTCTATGCTCCCCTCAAGCATCAAGCATGCGAGTCATCGAGGTTCCAATGAACAATTGTGAGGGGTTCGGTATTCAGACATGGTAAGTAGGATACTTGCTCGCCTACCCCAACCGGCCCAAGTCAAACCTTTACAGGCCAGACGGATATGAGCGAGGGTAGGATCCCGGTATTTTCATGGCCAGCTGCATGTGACATACCTAGGTACATTCCATTACATCTTCAATGCAACCAACAGCATACATCTTATCCATACCTAGGTACACTTTCAACGTGGCGTGGCGCCTTCGTCCTACCAACTGCCCTTCTATTCTTTGGTGGCTGTTCTTCATAATGCCACCGATTTCTTAATTAGGCAACGTGTGAGTGTTGTAATGCATTACCCGACACTGCTTGAGCTGGTACCTACAGCAAGGAAACTACTTGCGATATTGAAAAGAGCTCCCGTCCCCGTGTCTCTTCCGATACCAACCTCCGATGAAAGGAACTTGCGATCTTACGTCTAACCCTGGTTGAACTTCTCCTCGCACTCAAGAACAATTACTCCGAAATTATTTTCCGTCTCGAGCAACTCTGTATTCCCAAGTACTCACTAGTCTGAAAGGTTGTGGGAAGAATACTTACCTGAGGGCGCCTAATGCTTGACTTGCTGTAGTTACAACACGTGAGGGAGCGAGTACCTGGGATTAAGAGGTAGCGAGCAGCATGTCCGACCCGTTTGCCAAGGCGTCAGCAACGGTCTCGTCTAAGACCTCGTCTCCTGCTAATCCGTCGGCATCCCCAGAGGAATCGACAGCAGCTGGAGTATCATCGGATGATGCACCAACAGCAGAGGCAGAGCACACCGAGATTCTTCCAGCTTCTCATTGGGCCCAAGTACCAGTACGTTTGGGAATGCACCCTTTGGCTTTCTACAAAAGGAGACTCGACTTAGTAGTTTCGTTCTAGCATATCGAAGACAGCGACGATGGTGATTCCGCCTACGAGGACGACAATGCTAGTTCAACTGCATCATTGACTGCTAGTATACTGGAGTACCGAACTGTCCATGGGCGCACGTATCACAGTGAACGTGGCAACGCCCAATCTTGGTGAGACTCATTTCTCGTTCACCATGATGACGACTAATTTTACCTCAAAGGAATCCAAATGATCCCCTCCACGACGAGTCTATGGATATTCTGTGAGCTTCGCCATTTACCATCTTCGCGACCTGACATGCCGAATTAATGCGTACCTACCTAGCCATCACGTCTCGACGTTGATGCAACATGGGAAACTTTTCCTTGCACCGATAGATGATAAAGTTAAAGTAAGAGATTGATCATTGCTGCATCATCTTATGACTGTATTCTAAGAAGATCGCAGAGAGTACTCGACGTGGGTTGCGGTACCGGTGAGTCCCTTCGCATACATACCTACCTACCTACCTACCTATGAATTAGAGGTAGATCTTAGTCCCGAGATCATACTAACAAAACGTCGCACAGGAATTTGGGCAATGTAGTTCCTCCATACCTACCAGGTATTCTTACCGTTCAGGATAGCCATTGACTAATGACTCGATTCAGTGATTTTGCAGACCAATTCCCTGGGACCGATGTCATTGGCGTCGACATTTCGCCGCAACAGCCGCATTGGATTCCACCTAACTTGAGGTTCGAGGTCGACGACGTGACACAGCCTTGGACGTACGAACCTAGCAGCTTTGATTATATCCATATGCGATGGCTTGTAGGTGCCATCCCAGATTGGACATCCTTGTATCGGGAAGTCTACACGGCGTTGAAACCTGGCGGGTATTTTGAAAGCAAGGAGGCATCAAGCTCGATTCAGAGCGACGACGGGACAGTAGCTCCTGGGTCCGCTTTGGATCAATGGGGAAAGGTGTTCTACGCGGCTGGGAAGAAGTTCGGTCGCACGTTCGCCGTCATTGAAGAGAACATACAGAGAAAGGCTATGGAGGAGGTCGGGTTTGAAATCATTCAAGAAGTTGACTACAAGGTTTGCATCGCTTTCTACCACAGGAACAAATCAGCCAACTAAGCTAACGTTGAGTTACTAGGCACCCTTTGGACGGTGGCCGGTTGATGAAAACGACAAGGTAGTTGGACAATACAACAAACTTGCCATTGAGCAAGATGTTGAAGGTATGATTCCGTGGATACCATAGGTATTTTGGAAACGCAATGCTGATTTCATATCGTAGGGTTCTTGATGTACCTGTGGACTAAGGTCATGGGCTGGACTAAAGAGGAAATCCAAATTTATGCTGCGCATCTGCGTCGTGAGTTGCGATCGCCAAATATTCATCCCTATTACCCCATGAGAGTTGTCGTGGGTCGGAAACCAACTGGTTAGGGACGGCTATATCTATGGCGGTTCACAAGTAACTAGAGATCGGTCAAGTATAGAGCTAGATATCTCGAGCGCACAAGGTGAAGGTATTAGAAGAAGGTACTGCGGTTCTTAAATAACAAGACAACGATGCGTACCGTACAGGGTAATGAATTTATATAGAAACATCATAAATAATAATAAAATTACACAAATTTCCTAAGATGGGAAACGAGATGCGCATAATATCCAAGGTGTTGTTGCTTGTTACCTATGACACAGCGTGTGCCTATGCATCTGCAATACGCCTCCTGCAGTGTTCCAAACTTGCTTGTAGATTACCCCACGCTTTGCCTTTTACCTTCTGTATTTTCCTATAACAGCCAGAGAATATCCGCGTGTTTCATTCTGTCCCTTGTCTTCTACATCTTTCTCATCGAATTCATCTTCAAAAACGTGATCAATAAGATGGACTCGTCAGATCATACTCAGCCAGACAAGCTCGGAATCATTCTCCATAGCATTGATGACTTAATGAAAGATGCACTCGCTACGAACGAGACCTTATTGCAGCAGAACGCCGCTAGCCCCGACAATGGGTTACTACGCTCCCGCCAATCATCGCTGCTAGAGCAATTCAGAACCATGATGGTCACGATACATAGCAAAGCATCTAAGTTGACGCATGATATCGAGACAGAGCTAGAGCCTATAATCGCTGAAGCATCTTTGGAAGATCTGATCGGCGTTGATCTGAAGGGTGGCCTAAACCAGTCCCTTGGTCGCATGGAACTTGCTGGCAAGCCTTGCTACAAGCTACGCAATGCTGCTCCCACCATCCAGATCCCTCGTTTGATGGTTGAGGACGGCAGCTCTAGCTCGGCCACATCGCCTACACGCCCTGAGGATTACGTCGTTGTCCTGGACGCGACCCTGCGCAATGTTGCTGTGATCAGACACGCGTACGCCAACATTATAACTCACAAGGAGGACCTTATCAAGAAGTATTTCGACACTGTGGACAATAACATCTTGTCGTCCCGCAAGTTCAAGCGTGAGCAGTACGAGGTACTGGGCATGGGTGCATTACCGAAGACCAGCTATGGAAACTTGCTCGACATCAAGCACTCCTCTCATCACCAGTCAACCCACGACATGATGATCGCCCTTGCCGTGGAAGCACCAAATGGCGAAGTGCAATACCTTGAAGCAGTCTCCAATCAGAAATTCAAATCGGGTCTGGTTGGGAAGACTAATGACTACTTGGTCTTGCCTGTGGCTGAAGCAACGTTGAAGATGTTATACGACACGTACAAATCCCTCCGACAAGTGACATCTGATCAACGCCGGGCCACGCGCGACAAAGCGTTTGCGTCGACGCAGCCAGCAGACGAGGTGGATGAGCTAACGAATCAATTCAATCTCACAACTGACGATGATCCGGGTCTCACCAGCGATGGCCCCCGTAAGAAACGTCATCGACAAAACTAAGGTCGATAGCGAGGTCTATGAGCTCTCTGGAACTATCGTCAGCAGCAACGCGTACCACGGTCGACATGGCAATGAATTTCGTGTACGAAAAGGGTTTACGACAGGTGTACATCTTGGGGGTTTTGGTATGTGAGGTTGTTGTTATTTCCTCTGCATTTCGGTGTTTTCTCGTTTCTAAACATTCGAGCCGCCGCAGGAAGCGTCCTTTGTTCCTCAACGAGATTTGAACGGGATTTGAAGTCCCATCTTCAACACACACCGCATGGATGGAAGGGTAGTGGTAGAGACGGGGTTTCATCAGAGTAGCGTTTTTTTCGGGGCAAGTTGTTGCGGAATTGACCTTTGCACATTCGGTCACAAGAATAGTCGGCATGGACGTCGCGTCTTGATTCCAGTTTAGGAGGCCCCAAGGTATGAAGTACACGTGGGAATGGCAATTT